CATAGTCTATAAAGAAATTGTTCTACATCCAACTGTGGTGAGTAGCATTTGGTGTCTTAAAAGCCTGCAAGAGGTCATCTAAGATACATCTACTGGTCCCATCCAGGCTGGAACAAAGGAGAATGAAGAAGACCAAAGACACAAGGGAAAGATTAGTACAAAGGGCTAATGGACCACAACTACCATAACCTCCGCCAGACTGAGCCCAGAAAAACTAGATGCTGCCCAGTTACCACAACCAGCTGCTCTGGCAGGGATCACAATAGAGGGTACCGGACAAAGTGGGGGAAAAACGTAGAACAAAATTCAAATTCACAAAAACAAAAAAAAAAAAAAAAACAGGCTTTCTGGTCTGACAGAGACTGGAGAAACACTGAAAGTATGGCCCCCAGACACCCTTTTAACTCAGTACTGAACTCACTCCTGAGGTTCACCCTTCAGCCAAAGATCAGACAGTTCTATAGGGCAGTGGAAATCCTGGGGGCATAGTGGTTAAGAGTTCAGCTCCTAACCAAAAGATCAGCAGTCCGAATTGACCAGGCACCCCTTGGAAATCCTATAGGGCAGTTCTACTCTGTCCTATAGGGTTGCTATGAGTCAGAATCAAATCTACGGCAACAGATTCATTGTTGTTTTTTTTTTTAGTTCTTTATAGGGCCAACAATAACACACGTGAGGAACATGCTTTATGGTTCAATCCATGCATAGGAAACTAATGGCTGCACCAGCTCAAAAGCAAAGACAAGAAGGCAGGAAGGGACAGGAAAACTGGACAAATGGAAACAGGGAAACTGGGGCAAAGAAGAGAGTGTTGACACATCACAGGGTTGGCAACCAATGTCACAAATTATTTGTGTATTAACTGTTTTCACATAAAGTACAATTTTTAAAAAGTCAAAAAAAAAAAGAATACTATGAAAAATTGCACTTCAACAAATTTGAGAACCTATAGGAAATGGATGCATTTCCAGAAACACACTACCTACCTAAACTAACACAAACTGAGATAGAAAATCTGAACTGACCCATAACAAGAGAAGAGATTGAAGAGGTAATAAAAACATTCCAACAACAAAAACAACAAAAAACCTGGCATGGACATCTTCACTGGAGAATTCTACCAAACACTGAGAGAAGAGCTCACACCAATACTACTCAAACTATTTCAGAGCATAGAAAAGGAAGGAATACTCTCTAATTTATTCTTTGAAGCTAGAATAAACCTGATATTGAAGCCAGGCAAAGACACCACAAAAAAAAGAACATTACAGACCAATATCTCCCATTCTAGCCAATAGAATTCAGCATCATATCAAAAATATAATACACCATGACGAAGTGGGATTCATACCAAGTACGCAAGGATGATTCAACATAAGAAAATCAATCAACATAATCCACCACACAAATAAAATTAAAAAAGAATCACAAGATCATCTCGATGCAGAAAAGCTATCTATCTGATAAAGTCCAACACCCACTCAGGATAAAAACTCTCAATAAAACAGGAACAGAAGAGAAATTTTTCAACATAATAAAGGGCATTTATGCAAAACCAACAGCCAACATCATTCTCTATGGAGAGAGGCTGAAAGCATTCCCCCTGAGAACAGGAACAAGACTAGGACACCTTTTATCACCACTGCTATTCAACATTGTGCTGTAAGTCCTAGCTAGAACAATAAGGTAGGAAAAAGAGATAAAGGGCATCCAAATTGGAAAGGAAGAAGTAAAACTAATCCTATTCACAGATGATATGATCCTATACATAGAGAACCCCAAAAATTCCACAAGACAACTACTGGAACTAATCGAAAGACTCAGCAGAGTAGCCAAATACAAGATCAACATACAAAAATCAGATTTTATCACCAACAAAGAGAACTTTGAAACGGAAATCAGGAAAACAATACTATTTATAATAGCCCCTAAAAAGATAAAATGTTTAGGAATAAATCCAACCAAGGAAACTACAAAATGTTATTTCACAAACCAAGAGACCTACATAAATGGAAAAACATACCATGCTCATGGATAGAAAGATTCAACATTGTGAAAATGTCAGTTCTACCCAAAGCGATCTAAAGACATAATGCAATCTCAATCGAAATACCAACAGCATTCTTTAACAAGATGGAAAAACTAATCATCAACTTTACATGGAAAGGGAAGACGCCGCACATAAGCAAAGCATTATTGAAGAAAACGAACAAAGTAGGAGGCCTCACGCTATTTGATCTCAGAACCTACTGTACGGTCACAGTAGTCAAAACAGCCTGCTACTGGTACAATGAAAGACACATAGACCAACAGAACAGAATTGAGAATCCAGATGTAAATTCATCTACCTATGGTCTGCTGATCTTTGACAAAGGACCAAAGTCCGTTAAACAGGGAAAGGACAGTCTTTTTAAAGAATCATGCTAGCAAAACTGGACGTCCATTTGTAAAAAAACGAAACAGGACCCATACCTCACAACATACATAAAACTAACTGAAAATGGATCAAAGACCTAAATATAAACCCAAATAAATTGAATACAATACAAACCAGAAGATAAACTAGATAACTGGGAGCTCCTAAAAATTAAACACTTACGCTCATCATAAGACTTCATCAAAAGAGTAAAGAGACCTACAGACTGGGAAAAAAAATTTGGCTACGACATATCTGACAAGGGTCTAATCTCTAAAATTTATAGAATACGTCAACACCTCAACAACAAAAAAGACAAATAATCCAATCAAAAAATGTGCAAAGTATATGGACCGACACTCCACCAAAGAAGACATTCAGGCATGCTAACAGACACATGAGGAAATGCTCATGATAATTAGTCATTAGATAAATGCAAATCAAAACTACAATGAGATACCATCTCACCCCAACATTACTGGTACTAATCAAAAAACAAAACAAATGTTGGAAAGGTTGCAAAGAGACTGGAACTCTTATGCACTGCTGGTGGGAATGTAAAATGGTCCAACTACTACGGAAAACAATATAGCACCTCCTTAAAAAGTGAGAAATAAAAATACCATACAAACCAGCAATCCCACTCCTAGGAATATATCTTAGTGAAATAAGAGCTGTCACACGAATAGACATATGCACACCCATGTTCACTGCAGCATTTATTCACAATAGCAAAATGATGAAAACAACCTAAGTGCTCATCAACAGATGAATGGATAAACAAATTATGGTACATACACACAATGCAATATACACAACGATAAAGAACCATGATGAATCCGTGACACATCTCACAATATGGATGAATCTGGAGGACATTATGTTAGTGAAATCAATCACAAAAGGACAAATACTATATGAGACCTCTATTATAAATACCCAGGGAAAGGTTTACACACAGAAAAAAACAATCTTTGATGGTGACGAGGAAGGGGAGAGGTGGGGGGGAAATCACTAACTAGATAGTAGACTAGAGTTAACTTTGGTGAAAGGAAAGACAACACATAATACTGGCGAAGTCAACAGAATTTGTTCAAGACAAAGTCATAGAAGCTTCCTAGACACATCCAAACAATTTGAGGGACCAAGTTACCAGGACAGAGGGCTGGGGACCATGATCTCAGGGAACATCTACGTCAATTGATATAAGATAGTTCATAAAGCAAATGTTCTACATCCCACTTTGGTGAGTAGTGTCTAGGGTCTTAAAAGCTTGTGAGCGGCCATCTGAGATACAGCTACTGGTTCCATCCTGTCCGGTGCAAAGCAGAATGAAGAAAACCAAAGACACAAGGAAAATATTAGTCCAAAGGACTAATGGATCACATGAACCACAGCCTCCACCAGCATGAGCCCAGAAGAACTAGATAATGCCCAGCTACCACCACCAACCACTCTGACAGGGATCACAATAGAGGGTCCCTAACAGAGCGGGAGAAAAATGTAGAACAAAATTCAAATTCACAAAAAAAAGACAGACTTACTGGTCTGACAGAGACTGGAGGAACCCCTAAGACTACAGCCCCCAGACACCCTGCTAACTCAGAACTGAAGCCTCTCTCGAATTCCACCTATCAGTCAAAGATTAGACAGGCCTATAAAATAAACAAAAACACATGTGAGGAATGTGCTCCTCAGTTCAATCAAGTATACAAGATCAAATGGCAACACTTGCCCAAAAGCAAAGACCAGAAGGTAGGAAGAGACAGGAAAACTGAACGAATGGACACAGGGAAACCAGAGTGGAAAGGGAAAAGGGGGGAGTGCTGACATATTGTGGGGATTGCAACTAATGTCACAAACAATTTGTGTATAAATTTTTGAATGAGAAACTAATTTGCGCTATAAACTTTCACCTAAAGCATAATAAAATACAATAAAAATTCATATAATTGGAGAACATGTGGATCCACATTCAAAGGACACACAACTGAGTGCTCATGCATAACTACTTTTAACAGACACACACTAAGACCATCACTGGGGTCTCTAAAGATAAACTGTTATTACTAAGCTCAGAAAAAAGAAAAATAATCAAAACATCAGCATAAAGAAGGGACTTTCCTGGACTCTGAAATGCAAACAACAGATAATGTCCCAGTTTTAGAATATACATTTATTTTTAATAAGTATAAACTAAATAATATTTTACTTGCATTAAAAGAACTGCTTATTTTAAATAAAACAAACGAAAAGTCAGAAAGATTCTCTGGGAATATATTTAGGTTAACTTTTACAATAATCTAAAAAGATTGTCTGAATTCTGCTGTACCAGTTTATTTCATAGACTTTGTTTAAATAGTTCATGAGGCTTAGAAATGTATATTTATTTTTATAAGTGTTAAAATATTTTCCATAGTTATTTTTCTTTTGGCATCTTAAAGACAAAAGAATTAACAATATTAATAGTGATTAGTTATAGCAATAATAAAATCAAGCCATGAGAATTTGTTACCTTTAAAAATACTCAAACTCTTGACATTTTAAAGTAACTCCATCTCATCTTTAAAAGTAACACACTTACCTTGAGGGTCAACTTCTTTAGCTAGTTTCAATGCATCTGAGTTTGCAAGATCAGTATTGGCTGGGGTAACAGCCAAAATCAAACAGTTCTCCCGCATGATGAACTGCATAATCATTTCTCTGAGCTGATACTCAATATCTGGTGGCTGATCTCCCACGGGCACTTTAGTAATTCCAGGTAGGTCGATCAGGGTTAGATTTAACACTGGGTGGAAAGGATAAAAGTATTTTACATACACCCTTAATGCTAGGAGACAGCAACAATGCAGGGTTATCTGTCACTTAATGGAGATAAAAGAAGCTCAGTTCTGTATATTGTGCCTCTGAATAACGGCAATCCAAGTATGTAGAATAAAAAGCACAGAATATAAAACAACTTTGCTAGTTTCCTCTATTTTTATGACATGATTGTACTATGCCAAATGATCATGTCAACATAATTCGAAAGGCACTGATTTGCAGGCATAACAGTCTTCTCAGAGAGCTGTCATATCCGTAACCAGGGGGTTATAATTAAAACACTGAACAATAATGCATATGGTGTCTGTCAGTCTTATACATGGCCTTAGAATGTTGTAAAAGTACTCAGGGTAAGATGTGTCTTTTCCATCAAAAGCTTCATATGTTGTTTATAGAGGTTTTGCCACTTAACCTGTTGGAAAGTGTTAAGCACCGTGGTGCCGACAGGGTACTGCAGGCTGTATAACCATGCTCACAGAGCATGCTATCAAAGATTAGAGCACAACCTGGTAGGGTAAGGAACTGCTCCTGAATTAATGGCAATTCTGACTCCAGCCCAATCTAGCTGTTTTTCTCTGTGTACACAACAGTGTTAGCACCAAGTCCTCCTGGGAAGATATAACTGAGCCTTTGCCGTTCATGCTCTGCTTTAAAAGAAAACAGCGGGGTAGGGAATTAAAAAGTAACAGAGCTAGGTAGGGAATTAAAAACTAAAATCTGTCCCACCAAAGATTTAGTCAGAATAGAGGCTATTTCCCATCACATACCACAAGGTGATTATCTAGTTTATAAGTTTCTGCAGACAATCTTAAAAAAAGCAGTTGATTCCTCAAAAAGAGAATAAATATTCATGGCCATGAGGAAATCCAACAGGGCAAGATTAAACCATATTACCAAGTACCTCCAAGATTTTTGTAACCTCTGAAGGTATTAAGAACAGAAGTTTCCATGCATACCCCACTGAATTCTAAAAGTTTATAATAAACATAAAGGAAAATTTTAAAATGATTAAAAAGCCATCTCCTCCTGCCTTCCCAGTAATAAAGCTATAAGCTGTTTGGAGTATACTATTTCTAGCAGTATCCAAACACTACTGCAGAAGCCCAATACTTTTTGGGAGAACAAATTATCCTCTCTACAAATAATGTATGTTAATTAATGTAGTAAGAATTTGAGGAAAAGAATCGGAGTTTTATTATTTCACTTACCATGTGGGGAATAGACTCGTAAGTTAATGGGAATGGAGGAAATGCCTTTATTCATTCCAGTCACTCGATCTGTTTCTGCTTCAATCTCATGGCGAACTTCATCAAAATCTGTAAATTTTTTTCCTTTGCAGTGTAGAAATTCAGCATATTCTACAAAAGACAAATTAATACAACCTAAATTCACATGCTGTAGCCATAATTATAAGGAAACAATGTTTCTTTAATTACAAGTCAAATTATCTGTTAAAATGAAAAAAAAAAGCCTGCAGTTACTAAGAATCACAGTTTATACTTTAGAAATATTAAGCATAGCAAAAATATTAAAGATGCTAAATTTGCTAATTTTTAGTCAAGCAATAAGTACTATACCAAAAACCAAACCAAATCTGATTCTGACTCATAGGGATCCTGTAGGACAGAGCAGAACTGCACCATAAGGTTTCCAAGGAGCCCCTGGTGGATTCGAACTGCTGACCTTTTGGTTAGCAGCCAAGCTCTCTAACCACTATTTAAAAAAACCAAAACCAAACTCGTTGCCGTTGAGTCAATTCTGACTCACAGCAACCCTATAGGGACAGAGTGGAACTGCCCAATAGAGTTTCCAAGGAGCGCCTGGTGGATTTGAACTGCCGACCTTTTGGTTAGGAGCCATAGCACTTAATCACTATGCCACCAAGGTTTTCCTAACCACTATTAGCAGTGGTTAAATCATGTAATCTATTAAATAATTCAAAGATAATTTTGGCATTCCAAATGATAAAGCAAACAACAGCATCTGATCGTCAAAGAAATTAGATCCAGAGGACACACAAAGCCCACCCACTAATCCTATTAACATTTTCTTTTTTGATATCACCACTTTGTTAAGAAGGAATGCTAAGTTGTATAAACATAGCTTAAAAAACCTGTTGCCGTTGAGTCGATTCCAACTCATAGCGACCCTATAGGACAGAGTAGAACTTCCCTATAGGGTTTCCAAGGAGGGACTGGTGGATTTGAACTGCCAAGCTTTTGGTTAGTAGCCTGAGCTCTGTACCACCAGGGCTAAAGGAGAAAAATTTAGAAATAAAGTTTGCTTAACTCTTTAAAAAGAATATACAGGATATTTTAGCTTAAAAATGTACTATTAAAAATGCCATGTCAACTTGTGTAATTAAAATGACATTTTTTAAAAAGAAAAAAAAGATAGAGAATATTACATCAAAAAGAAACTACCTGCAATCTAAGTTATACTAATAATAATAATGATCAGTATCTGTAGGCAGAAGGAAAAACTCTTAACTAAAAAGAACAGCAAACTAGTTTTTATTTCAGTAACATTCTACCAACTGTTGTATTGTCAATTTCTACTCCTACTTCCAGAGATACCAAGTATATACAGGGAAACCAAACCAGTTCCTGTGGAGTCAATTCTGCCTCATGGTGACCCCATGTGTGTCAGAGTAGAACTGTGCTCCACAGGGTTTTCAATGGCTGATTTTTCAGAAGCAGATTGGCAGGCCTTTCTTCTGAGAGCCTCTCGGTGGATTTGAACCTCCAACCTTCTGGTCAGCAGCCGATCATGCTAACCACCTGCACCACTCAGGACTCCTATAAACAGGGAAACTGGTACTATCAGAAGGTCCCTGAGTGGCACAAACGGTTTGCACTCAACTACTAATCTATAGGTTGGAAGTTTGAAACCACCCAGTGGTGTCACAAAAGAAAGGTCTGGATATCTGCTTCTGTAAAGTCTGCAGCTAAGAAAACCCTATGGAGCAGTTGTACTCGGTAATATATAGGGTCACCGTGAGTCAGAATCAACTCAGCAGCAACACATTTGTTTTGCTTGTTTGTTTCTTTGGTTTTTTGGTACTACTAAATCTAAAAATTTACGAAAAATTTTTTTAAGAGAACAATTTTTAACAAATATTTTAGCTTCTCTAATATGGTTGAAGAATTGCTCTACCAAAATTAGACTAATGTTGGGCAGGTTGGGCCCAACATTTAAACTGCACCAACCTTGGCAAGGCCAGTAGGAGAGACAGCCGAATATAAGGTGTGGTCCTCTCTCTTCAAGGAGCTTAGCATCAACTTGGGAAGCTAAAGATTTTATCACAGAGAAAAAAGCTAGCACACAAGGCAGCATGTAATGAGTGCTGATTTGCATGTAAATGATAGGAAAGGGAGAGGTAGGAGAGATGGCTTCAAGCCCAAAAAACAGAGGGGGATAGGAACTGAGTTACTGAAGAGCAGGAAGGATTTCAATGTGTGGGAAAGAAAAGTCTTTCAGAAAATCAGAGAATCTTAATAGCTTCAACAAATCCCTGGTAACTTACCCTCTACCCTCTGCTTGAAGTCACTCATTGATGGGGAACTCAGGCTCTGATCCCTTTGGAAAAAACTCTTATTGGAAAATATTTTCCTTATATTGACATAAAATCTGCTTTCTTGTCATATTCCATTGGTAGAGCTTTTGCCCTCTGGAGCTGCTCAGACAAGTCTTCTATGTGAAAAGGCTGGGGAATGATTCGGGTGTTGCACACAGAGTTCATCTCCTTCCTGGGCTCCTCCCACCCCCTTTCCTGGCTTTTCTGTTCATTGGTCAGGGCTCCTGGTGGCAAAGGTAGATTTCTCAGCAACACCTCATCTACTCAACACTGCAAAAACTGCAGACTCTCAATGTGGAACAAGTTCATGCTTAATTTACCAAAGAAATGAAATGATCTAACTTTTCAAGTGTTAGAATGAGAGTCAGAGACTTAATTTCTATCTTTCCAGACAACGTGTATGGGTGTGAATATCATTCTAGTTTAGTTTCTCCATATAATAATATGCACCACTTCTGAAAAATGGTAAGCTAAGATTCCTGAAAGCTGGGTCCTCTAATGGTGGAAGTATACACAAGAAAGCCTCTATAGGCTTCGGGAAGTTTGGCCTGAAGAGATTACTCGTCATTTGGCATATTCTTTCACATTTGCCCCATCAGAGGTGCTGTTTTTTATTAGAATATAAATTACCCACTCAATGCTTACTCCAGTACCATATGAACTTAAGAATTTGGGTAACAGAAGTAGAAGACAAAACAAAAAGAAAAATAAAGAGGAACAAAAGAAGTCAGATCCCAGAAACTAACGAAACAAAAATGAATAAGTAAAAATGAGTCCAGGTAATTAATAAGAAATGGAATTGTATTTTTCCATTTAAATACAGTCTGTGGTTGAGGACTTAGGGTTAACACAACAACTACTTTCATAGAATTAATAAGATCAGGGACCACGTTTTCCATTATGTTACCCACTGCCATTGATTCGATTCCAACTCATAGTGACTTTATCTGTTGTCATTGTCAGGTGCACTTGAGTCGGCTCCAACTCATAGAGACCCCATGTGCAACAGAACAAAACACTACTCAGTCCTGGGACATCCTCACAATCGTTATGCTTGAGCCCATTGTTGCAGCCACTGTGTCAGTCCATCTCATTGAGGGTCTTCATCTTTTTCGCTAACCCTCTACTTTACCAAGCATGATGTCTTGCTCCGGGGACTGATCCCTCTTGACAACATGTCCAAAGTATGTGAGATGAAGCCTCACCATCCTTGCTTCTAAGGAGCACTCTGGCTGTACTTCTTCCAAGACAGATTTGTACGTTCTTTTGGCAGTCCATGGTATATTCAATATTCTTCGCCAACACCACAATTCACAGGCATCAATTCTTCTTTGGTATTCCTTATTCATTGTCCAGCTTTCACATGCATATGAGGTTACTGAAAACATCATGGCTAGAATCAGGCGCACTTTAGTCTTCAAGGTGACATCTTTGCTTTTCAACACTTTAAAGAGGTCTTTTGCAGCAGATTTGTCCAAGGCAACGCGTCATTTGATTTCTTGACTGCTGCTTCCACGCGTGTTCACTGTGGATCCAAGTAAAATGAAATCCTCGACACCTTCAACCTTTTCCCCATTTATCATGATGTTGCTTATTTACTGGTCCAGTGGTGAGGATTTTTTTCTTTATGTTGAGGTGTAATCCATACTGATTGCTGTAGCTCTCTGATCCTCATCAGTAAGTGCTTCAAGTCCTCTTCTCTTTCAGCAAGCAAGGTTGTGTCATCTGCATAATGTAGGCTGTTAATGAGTCTTCCTCCAATCCTAATGCCACGTTCTTCATATAGTCTGTTACTAATCAGTAAATATAAGTAACACAAATGTGGACTTAGTTTGTTACCACTAGATGGCGCCTGCTTGCTTTCTCAGTTTGAAACTAACATCCTTCCCACACGGTTGTAAAATCAATGTGATTTTCAAATTAGATTTTATATTCATTCCTGAACCCCTGAAATGCTTTTTATCTTGAAATTGAAGGATTAGAATTGTAAATGATCACCTCAAACCTCAGACAGATTTAGAGATGCCTGTATTCATTTACTAATTTGGCTAATATTTACCGAGTTCCTCCTACTTTTCAGGCACTGTTGTAGAAACTAGAGATTTAGTAGAGAAAAAAACAATGAAGCTAAATTCTAATGAAGGGAAACAAAAAACTCTGTGTGTGTGTGTCCTCGCATGTGCTAGGAAGGGACATTCCTTTGTTATATGATTGAAGGAGGTCTCTCTGATAAGGTGACATTCGAGCAAAGACTCAAGAAACTGGAACCATATATCTAATCAGGGCTTAATATGCAGAACATATAAAGAACTCCTACCACTTAACAACAAAGAGAAAAACAACCCAATCAAAAAATGGGCAAAGTAAATGAACAGTCATTTCACCAAAGTGGATATACAAATGGTCAACAAGCACACGAAAAGATGCTCAGCATCATTTGTCATTAGGGAGATGCAAATCAAAACCACAATGAAAACACCACCTCACCCCCACTAGAATGGCTATGGAAAAAAAAAGGAAAATGACAGGTGTTGGTGAGGATATGGAGAAATTGGAACCCTCATCCATTGCTGGTGGGAATGTAAAATGGTACAGCCACCGTGGAAAATCATTTGGCGGTTCCTCAAAAAGTTGAACAAAGAACTACCATATGACACAGCAGTCCCAATACTAGATATATATATATATACCCAGAAGAAGTGAAGGCAGGAACACAAACAGAAACCTGTACACCAATGTTCATTGCTGCATTTTTCACAATATCCAGAATGTGGAAACAAG